AATTGCTGCGTTGATCGATGGGGTGCAGGGATGGGTAAGAGAGCAGGAGCAGGCACTGGCATGGCCATAACAATGTCAACACCAGACACAGGATGAGACTTGACCGGAGCTCCCCCATGCTGCTGTGCCAGAACAGATGTGGATACAGGTGACAGGACAGGTGCAGGAGGGGCAGCTGGGGTGAGTACAGGTTCCTGCTCATAGATATTCACAGATTCGCAGGTGCGGTGACCTTTCACTTCCTCAAAGACCACATCACATGAATGAATGATACTTCCTCTCAGCCCAGCCATGGAGTCCCACAGATGGAAGTTCGCATCGTTGGTATAGCCTATGAGAATATAGTGATGTGACTTAGGGCCGAGCTTGGTCTGAGTGTCGTTGGTAAGTCTGGCCCATGCTACAGATCTGAATGCTCACAGATGCACCACGTTAGGGACATGCCCCTGCCAATGTTCATAAGGAGTGTGCCTGCCCTGCCTCACAGATGGAGTTAAAGACTTCAGATAAGCAGCGGTGTTAAAAGCCTCAGCCCAGAGGTGGTTCAGGACATCAGCATTGTATAGCATAGCTTGCACATGGTCCGCGAGAGTGTAATGGCCACGCTCACTTATGCCATTCTCCTGGGGAGTATAGGAAACCGTCAGCTTCGCAATGATCCCATTGTCCCAGAAATATGCTGCCCAAGTTCCATTATTAAACTCAGTGCCATTATCGAAGCGAACGAGGTGCAGCTTGCAACCCATTTGCCATTCGGCCATGTGGTGGAAAGTTTGAAAATGGTGTAGCGTCTCATCCATTGACTTGGTCACAAGTAAGTAAACCATCATATACTATGATGCACCATCATCGATGGTCAAGAGATATTGAGCACCACCTAAAGATGTAACAGAAAAGGGCCCCATCAAATCCACATAGACTCATTCAAGAAGCTCTGTCTCGACTTCAGATGCACGAAATGGTGCGTGGGTCTGCTTGCCCTTAAAACAATCCTCACACTTCCCAGCAGGTCGGTCACCCTTCATGATCATACTTGACACCACGTTGGACTGTGCCATTGTCTGTACAGTCTGTTCACTGATATGACCCAGCCTGTGGTGCCAAGTCATGATGTCAGCTGCAGAACTGTGGCCATCAACCACTAGTGCATGATGATCATAAGTGAGGTACGCACGAGGGAGATTCGGCAAGGTAGTGAAGTCGACGATAGTGAACTCCGCCTCATATAGGTCACCCAATGTCAAGACACAGGTGAACATCATCTTCCCCACTTTGCCCATCACGTTTATCATCCCCGCTGCACCAGAGAACAAATATTCAGCACGGTCGAGGTGTGGCATTGATATCAGATTGGCCGTGAGATCGGGAGTATAAATGGCATTCTGAAACATAATGACAGGTGTATGTACGTCCATCTATCATCATCTTGATGGCAACATTCTCTACTCCTATGATACTAAAGGAAGAACCCTTCTTGGCTCTGTTTTCCAGCATCGGAGTGAGCAGCATATAGTTGATGAAACTCGCGCGATCCACAAAGCAGTGGTGAGTAGCACCAGTGTCAGCATAGGCCCTCAGGGTTCCATGGCTGATGGGCTCGACGTGTGATATATTGATGAGGTGAGCACTTGCCAGGAAGATATGATAATCATATTCTGACACGTGCCCATCACTCATGTTTGCTGAATGTGTGGTTGCTTTGGTAAGGTGAGCTTGTAGTGGGATTTGAGGACCGGACGTGGTAGCCCCAGATGTCACTGCCGTCGATGCCACTGCAGCCTGTTTAGCCACTAACACTTTCACTGCAGGTAAGCCCTTCTTAGAGACAGGCTTCGTCCACCCTGCTGGCTGCTGACTCTCTCATCCTCTGCCTTCACAGAAGCAATTGGCTTGCAGATGGCCCTTTGCGTCGCACCACTCACATATCTGTATGGCCTTTGCACGTGTCATGAATGCACTTGTGGTTCGTGGTGCAACTTGATCTGTTCCCATTGGGTTAAGCAGATTATCGGCCTGTATGCGGTCATTTTCGAAGACCACAAGGATTGACTTCATGACAACGTCTGGGTCAGTTTGCAAGAGGAGTGATGTACACGTGGATTGGAGCAATGGAAGGTTTGATATCGAGTTGCATATGATAATTGCCAACCTAGCGGCATTGAACGTAGATTCCAGGTCACGTGCAGCATGCCATCGGTGGTGAAGTTCTGTGAAATGGTCCTGAAGGTCAGTCCATTCAGTCCACATGCACGCTTTGAGGTAGTTCTCAGCATTCGTGATCATCAACGCCGTCTTCCACTCCCGCTTCTTGTCACAAAGCACCAAAGCACTTAACCCAATTAAGGGCAAGTCTGCTTTTGTGACCTGCACAAATGATCTCACATAAAAAGCCTGCCACAAGAGCTAAGCTGAGGACGTGCGCAGTGGTGTGCAGTCTGAAAAAGGGGCTCAAAGGGCCCTTAGCCTTATGCTCACAACTAGGGGGTGAATTGGCTGTTTAAGCCACATACAATAGGATAATGAATCTAAGGTCTTCCCTTAGATCCTCATGGGCTTATATACATGTAGGGCAGGGCCCCTGGCACTGTGCTACTGTGAGACCTCAGATACCTACATGTGAACATATTGCCAGAACCGGTAATGGTTCTAGACTTCATCATAGCAACTATCCACAATGACCGTGGATACGCTGAGGTAATCCTATCTAATCCAATGAGATAAATGCCTGTAAGTGGGCCCACTATTGAGGGGCCAATGGGTGATGGCCAACAGAGCACATCACAACAGTTGCAACATCAGATGAGAGGATCTGTCCAAACTCAGAACAATGAGTATGACGATCAGTCTTCATCTGGATAGGGTTTGTGAGAAGATCTAGCCTATCCTGTGTCTGGCTATACTGTATGCCGGTTGGTAGGGGGATCCTCTGTTGTGGTATCTGCCTATTGGTTTAGGCAGCAAAGTGGTGCCACTATCTTGAGTGGCGAATTGGGTGCTTGCTAGCTTGATGGTCCAATGGGCTCCTTTCTGGGCAAGTGGCCTGGTGTCACATGACCAACACCTGACAACTTCTGAATAGGGCAAGTGGCCAGTGTCACGTGACTGGGTGGCTGAATCATGGGCCTTGATGGTCATGTGGTAGACACAGTCATGTCCGTGATGTATGTGGTGGCACTATGCTGTTTGTCCAAGTATCCACGTTGCGAGACCAATATGAAGGTTGGCGTCCGAATAACCACTCAAATGAGGACTTTAATGGTGCAAAAAGAAAGGTGCCACTTAATACTGTGACACTTCTGCACTAATGTAGTCCATACTTCATGAGCTGTTTTTCCCTCATCCTCCATGCCAGTGCGGATGAAGTCGATGATGTTCAAAGTGATAATAGCCTTTGCAAACTCATCGTGCTTGTCCTATAACTGTTTCTCTGCCCTAGCAAGTGCGACGTGGCCTGGGTCTGCACCTGGTGGAGCCAGAGGTGATTGTGTAAGTGTTCCAATAAGGTGCACATATAGGCTACGAATATGAGTGATGGTGATAATCTTTCCCTTTCAGTTGAACCAATTGGCTTTGCCAAGCTGTTGGCTTTCTGGAAGGATGAGCATTTTCATGTCGGTTGTGGCCGCCATGATGGAATGCTAATACGATGAATATTGATGCGAATACTTCAAATATTGATAATTGGTCTCGAATATTGAGGAGTTGATATCAATATGATGTCTTGTACAGCTATATGCACCTTCTGGGGCTCATAACCTGTTATGAATACAAGGCTAATCTCAGCCACGCTGTACACTGACATACTCAACTGTATTGCTGGACTGTACCTGTTACGAATACAAGGCTAATCTACTCGATACAGTCAGCCCAACATCCAATCAATGAATGCAGTCATGTCCAATACTCATCTCAGCCATGCCATACACTGACATACTCGACTGAGGTGTTTATGACGAGGAACGTGTCATTATGTAGGTGTGTGACAATCACGTAACTGCACTGTCAAACCTGTCAGCCCATTTCCTCCCCATTCTCCCTATAGCTCTGAAGCAGTCTCCTTCTAACAAATACCATCATTGAGATCAGAGGCCAAGTGGTCTGTTACCACGTGAGGCTTATCATCACACCATACAACAAACATGGGGGAGATCTTCATGCCAGGCAATAGCTCAGAGAGCTCTGATGACCATCGCCCAGCTGATGATTCCTTATCACAAAATGCTCAGGTAGCATTGATATTGGGAGAATCAGCAGAATAATTCTCAACTAGTTCTTCCTGCTCAATCTTCCATTTGCCATCGTCAGGTGGCCAGAACCCATGATGAAGACCACGCAAGACAGATTGTACAAAAAGTGGATTGTAATGATCAGAAAGTATACATTCAAGCTTATCGACATTGAAGGGGATGTCCACTCGAATGTGATGCTTGCAGGCCTCAAGAGCTATCTGAATGGTGGGATCAGCGAGAAGGTGAGCCGGCGGATCAGGAAGTGGTGAATCCACTTCAGTGAATTGAGCAGCAGGTGACATGTGGGCATGCTCGACATCTGCCCAACTGAACCCTCGTCAAAATCGAGGGAGCTCATTGGTAGACTCAGCTTTCTGCTTTCCCAAGGCAGAAGCTGCCTTGACAAGTGACCTAGGCCCTTGTGCTGCTACCTGAGCTGCCGTGGCTGCTTCCAGGGCCTCCTTGTCTTTTGTGAGCCTTGAATGCATTATGGCAGGTTGCATCATCTTTGACACGATGTGGTCCTCTGCACTCCCAGCAGTCACCATGCCTTCACCGGTTAGGGCAAGGGTCATCGTCACAATGCCCCAGATTCTAATTAAGACACGGCATAGTCACCCGCTTCAAAGGTGGGGATGACTGCCCCAGATGTGATCTTTTCCCAAGAGTGGTTCTGGAAGATGACTGCATGATCTCAGCAAAGATATGAACTTGAAGGCATAAACGATCATTGAGATGATAGGGTGACTTATGATATGCATCACACGCTGCTCAGTCCACTCTAATCATGATAGACAGATCGAGACCCATGGCATGGAACAGTTCCAGGATGATGATACAATATTTGTCCAATTCTGAGGAGCAGTGAGGATAGAGATGCAGAACAGCTTCAACCCAAGCACCAAAGACACGGATCCAATCTGACTCTGAGTGGATGGATTGCTGAGATGATGAGTGGTCTTTCTTGATAATTGCGAAATCTGCAGCGAGGTCTTTGGGCTCGTCATCGTGATCGTACCCAGCTTCCATGGATGCAAAGAGTTTCTCGAAGTTAACATATCGATCCATGAGTACATCCTTCCAGATTGAATGAGGCACTGGGACCTGCATGGTTGCTGCTGCATGAGATCCAGAATGGGGTCACTCACCCATTCTGAGACATACAACTGGCGAAGATGGAAGGTCTCAGCCAAGTGAGAATCCTGCGAGGCTGGTGAGGCAGTGGCGAGATGCAGCACAGCAGTGAGAACGGACTATGAGATACCAAACGAGCCCGAGGATAGTCTCAGTGCTTTGAAAAGCTCATTGAAGGAGAAGTCAGCACTCTCACAGCTCCTATCTGCTTGCTGAAGTGAGATGAGTTTCTGCTTAATGATCACCCAGGCAAGTGCATTGACTGAATTCTCCGCTAGTTGAGGACCATTCTTGTTGTGCTCTTTTCCTCCCTCGTTTGACAAGTCAGGGCTAGGATTGCGATCGTGCTCCCACTCAGCTTGTTCAACAAGCTGCTCGACATAGTCATGGACCTTCTGTTCATTTGCTCTGATCTCCTTGAGGCACTGAATGGCTTGATCATTGGTAATGCACGATGCTGCTGCATCTGAGATGATAGCTTGCATCTTCTCAGCTTGGGCTTGGATGGTCTCAGGAGAGTCCGGAGTATTTCTGGACTTCTGTGTGAAAGAAGATCCATCGCTACTGACCATTGATGATTCGACAGATGAGTGGCATAGTGTCGTAGGTGCAAGCTACCAGAAATGAGAGATAAAGTATCAGGCTCTGCGACAGGAATGTTGGCAGAGCTGAGCTTACTTTGTTGCTGGAGACCCTAGTGACAGCGGAGCCGATATGTCCCTATGCAAACAAAGTGTCTGGATATCGTGTGTCAGAGCGAGGCTCTCCAATGACGGGAACAATAGCAAGCACTTACCTGACGAGGAGGAAGAGCGAGGCTCTGTCCCATCCTCTCTTTGACAGGGCTTATAAGTGCTTGCCCCTGGTGTGTGCTGGAGCCCCTGTACAGTGGCAAGCCCAGGCCTGGCATGAATCACGTGTTGCCACCTGAGCCATCCCTTCTAGGACTTCTGCTGTCATACGTCAGCATCCTTGAACGGATGACCGCTTCACGTGATCCAGCAATGAGCGTGGCGGCAGTGCTGCCTTATCGTATGCTGAGCAACCTCCTCGGACTGGGAGATATAATGGTAATTTATATAATGATGTTAAAAAATAGTTTAAAACATGCAAAAAAATGTACAAAACTGTCGTCTATGCAGCACCTACAGTTTAAAATATATACAAAACCTCCAGGGTAGTTTTTTGCAGAATGCTACTGCAATCACGGTTGCATTCCTTTAAAAATCTCCTCATGGGAGGAAGAAGCTTCTGCTGCCAAAAAATGACTGTCATATACAGTATAATGCTGCTCCAGCAGAACGAACTTCTTTCTCTGAAAAAAAAGAGACTGCGACACAGAAAATTCCACCATGGCGTGATTTGAAAGACTTACCTCTCATTATCTGTGAAGATCTCAGCAGAGGGTTCAAAGTACCGCTGGCAGTGCTACGTTAAACTTATGCACGATATCTTGCCCCCCTGAGCCATGGCGTCTAAGAATAAAAGGAGAATTATGATAATATCAGCTAACATTTATGGCATCAGCGTTGTGAGGTGCCGTGGGCCAATGCACAAGCACAGGTTGTTATACGGGAGGGAGGTCTGTACAGTCATTGACTGGTCAATGAGACACCCCCCAGTCAATGAGACAAAGTTGACTAGCTCCCCCAAATCATCTCCACCTGCCCTCTGCTTTGGCATTAATGTTGATATGCCATCCATGCTACTCTACACCAAAAATTAGGGGAATGTGCTGAGTGGTGGGTTCACCAACTTTCAATCTCATTGAATTTTACATGGGTGTGAAACTGAAACCCCACAATCTATGATTTTTCATGCATCTGCATCTGCATTACACTACCAATTATGAGTCTCATATTAAAGCTTGTCTTATTGGCTACATGTTCCTCCAGTTTTGAATATACAGTATACCTGCTCATAATGCATTCCCTCATGGTGCATAACACCTCATAATGCATAGCTCCATGTGGGTATGGAGTTGGTGTCCGCCAAATTATGCATGAGATCTCATATCACATAATGCATACCTAAAACGCGGCATTATACATTATAATATCGTGAGAATAATGCCTAACTAGGAAATTTCATGTGCATTGAAGGTTATACAGGACACATAACACCATTTTTGTCCTGTAATTATGTTTATAAATTATGTTTATGTCCAAATTTGGGGGTACTAAAGCAGGTTTGTCACAAAAAAGTAATAATAATCTGGTGAAATGTAAGGCCTATTTTGTGTGTGTGACAGCCCTACCTTGAAAAGTCACGCATAGTCACTCAACGTCACACTATGTGACAGCCTGGTAATGCATACTACCTCATAATGCATAGCCAAACCTGGGCACCGACGTTATGCGTTATGAGCAGGTGTACTGTAGTACAAAAGAAAATAAGTGATAGACAGACAGAATGAGCATGACACTGCATATGGTTGGAAACGCCACTTCATGACAAGTCACATTTCTACTCCTAGTGCCTTGAGATTGAAAATCTATATACAAAGTACCCATAGATACATCCAAATCTGAAAGTACGAGTTTTTCTATGAAACTAACCCTAACCCTAATAAAATGGCCAAATTGCCCCAAGGTCAATGGTTGTCAAGAGTATGGTGCTAGTGAAAATGCTTACCTTTCAAGCCATGGTAAGCCCTATCGTTGCCTTACATTATAATTTTGCAACTCCGGGTCCTTCAACTGCAATGCATGGTGAGATTTATACCTGCAAACACTTTTGTCACCGCCTCTTGCCGGCGCTTACCATGACTATATTTGGTAACACCAGTGCTTATAGTAGTGGTATATCCATATATGGTAATGCATTAGTAAGCAAAATGGCCAAATTGAGGCCTGAAAACTCAAAGTTCAAATTTTGCAAAATCTGTTCCAGCCATGTTGTAAAGCATCTCTTTAGATATGATTCTCTATATGTTTCATGAATTTTAATGCAGACTCTGAAAAGCCTTAGCAAATCCGCGAGATGGTTCAAACACTTACCATGAAGTGGTGTCCCCAACCATATGAGAGCCTTGATCATGAGATGCAGTGACCCTCTGTTATGTCACACTATTTCCATATTTGGTAGAGGGCCGAGTTTGACTTGACAGTCAAGAAGTCCGAATTGGGAGGCAAAACTCAATGAAGCTAAGTAGGAGCATCAGAGGCCAGCATGTAGAAAGCCAGGTTTCGAAGGCCTTGGCTCATAGAAAGTGATACAGAGGATGATTGCAATAAAATGGGCAGAAGATCGTGGTGAATGCGAGTGAGATGCATCGGATTACTTGTTTCCAAATATGGTAGGAGAAAGCGTGATGTGACCACGTCTCAAGGAGTGAATTTAGATTGATAAGGACTGCGACACTGATCTGCTCCCCATGCCCTCTGTTCACACTCGATAAGAGTTAAAACTACATAAGCATAATGTTTCTGTACTGTGTGAACTATGAGTAAGGTCTGATCTCATTCTTATGTGGAAATTCTCCTGCTAGAGCCTTAAAACAATTTGAGTGTCTCATTGACCAGTTGATGACTGTACCAGAAATTTTGCTGCCCGGAACCGTCTGACTTGTCAGCATCGTCTAGGCCTCTTGTGCATGCACCATTCCTCGATGGAACAACTCATGGTAGTATCTTGGAGCGTCAACTCCTCACTATACGATAGCAATGATCTACTATGCAAATACGTGAAGCCCCAACACAATATCTAGAAAGTAATCTAGCTCTATCGAAATCATCTACCAACTTCCAGGCGTTGCAAGCAGGCAAGGACATATCTAAAGTCCAGAAACCATTCAATCGTCCCTTATATCACATATGGATCCTTGCCATGATGAGGAAAGCTCGGCTCAGCAAGCCGGTACAGTCAGGGGTATCTTGACCGTTGTCTGTGGAAAAAACCATGTTTGGCATCCGGTCGCCTATGCTCGTGAAAACTTACCGCAAGACCCTTGGGACAAGCAGTACAGTATCAGGGGACCAAACAAATGCGATCAATTGGATGATACTCACCGAAAGACTCGTCTCTTTGTATTTCACACTCATGTCAGCGGCAGTCAGGCGCATTGCCTCAATCGCCTCGTCAAGCGTGACACTGTAAACGTTCTGGCTAGCCATCGAAAGTTGTGCAGCGGTCACCGCTTTTACAGCTGCAGGTCAAATCCACATATCAGCTAAGAAAGCAGGTATCCAACAAGGTGCGCGCTTGCCTCCCAAGCTATTACGCTCCTGTGGACAACGAGAACATCGTCAGCGACACGCAGAGACCTCGTGAAGAGGAAGACCTACGATGCAGGGAACTTGCACAAGACCATCGATGGGGTCACACGTCAACCCCAAGTTGTGCTCTGAGCGCGTCATCAGCTAATTAGCGGAAGACACTTATTACAAAACTTACCTATACCAATCTCAGCAGCCTAACACGATCAATTCTTCTCGGTGGTTCTTTATGAGTACTTAGCAAAAAAAAACTGACCTGAAGCACAGTCTCTGGAGAAGCTGTAGATACAACGAGACGCATGAGTAACACGCAAATAGCCTTGAATCGATATGCTTACCTCCCATGCAGGCAGCGAAGCCGGCACTAGCCATCGAACATGCAACTAGACCATTCCTTTCGTTAGTATACCCGTGATAATCGACCCGATAGATGCTGTTCACCTCCCACCTCAGCCTGGCATCCTCCTTCTGCGGCCGATATTGTGCTTCCTCGTTTGAAGAGCATACCGACCGCCTGAAAGACAGCAAGGGTTAAATGAGAGATGAAGAGAGTGATCAAGGGGCGATATAGACGTACGGCGGCAGTCAATAAGAACGTCACAATCGACTTCTCTGGATCGTCGCTGACGAACTATGCACAATCATACGTGAAATGCCAAACGAGCATGGATGAATTTGACATACTTCCACGATATACTTCAACACCGCCGGGATGACACCCGCTGCGCCGTTTGTAGGCGACGTCACAATCCGGCCTCCGCTCGCATTCACCTCATTCACCGCTATCGCATAACAGGATAGGAAGTCCACCGCAGGGATCGTCGTCTTGTGCTATATCCACACATCAAGCAACCTAACTATCAAGATGAACCCAACCTAGCACTCACCGGAGGCATAGGCAACACTGCATGGTTGAGCGAGCCCACGACCCGTGCCGCGCGCGAATGCGCGAGCCCCTCTCCATTTTTACTCGCAGAGCCCGTATCGGACTTCTTCGACCCGCCCTCGCTATCTGCTACATTTCCTTGATGTGTTTCGCCCTCTATTGTACCGATTCGCCCCGAGACGCCTGAGAAGCCCGTTCCGATGGCTGGGAGCTGTTGTTTCGGGAAAGCTAATGTTGGATAAAACCTGTCAAGTATTAGCACTAAATTGATCGTGGCTCTTTGATGTGCAGAGGAAATAGTGGTACCCTCTCATGAGTCTTCGGTAGAGAATGGGCGCACGCCGACGCAGCTGAAGCCGCCCTGGGAGTTTCGTCTCGGAGGATGAGACACCCATGCGTATGCAGTCGTCCATGACGCTCCATATGCGCGTCAGCTACATCACATTTACGAGACCCGTCAAGATATCGTAAAGGTGGGTCAACGCCGGAAAAGCAACAACAGACCTTTTCGTGGATCTCATGATGGGTGTAACCGAAGTGAAGCTCGTTGTCGTACACGATCTGTGCTATCGTCATCTACGGGGGCTGTTCAGCTCACCCACATCGCCACAACTGGCGGGGTGCACGCACGTTGTGCTTGTGTGTGAGAGCTAGCAGACTCTCTCCAGACTACACAATCTGATGCGTCAGTCTGCAAATAAAGCAAATCGAATGCGCACAACGTACGGTGAAAGGGTATGGTGGTTGGCACGGATCCTGTTCTCGAGAGGACTCGCCTAGATTCGGTTCGGACAAACTATGCGTGAGGTGCAGACGCGCGCCATGTACCGCACTCTTGTTCACGCCCTTGTAGAACAGGTTCTCGTCCACTGCGAACATCGTCAACCAGAACACGCCCTCCATAGCCTCTTGATCCTTGTTCCCTACTCACCCTTCGTCTTGTCATTCACCACGAATCCTCCCCCGACACTACCAAATTTCAACTTTCGTCTTTACCAACCGTCCTTTCCTTTCAAACAGACACGCACCTAAAGTACTCATTCGTCGCGAGCAAGTTCCCCTCCTCGTCAAACACCGAGAAGCGCATCCCGTTCGGGTGTGTTTTGAGTACGTGGTCCCAGCGCCAGATCATATCCTTGTCCATGTCGTAGTGCACGTGGTGTCTCCCGAGCAGCGTGAGGCTCTTGGTCTCGAGAATGGCTGCATACCGCGAGGGGATGGTACCCGTGTCAATGGTCTCAGGATCCGAACCTGAGATGAGAAGTGAGATCAGCTGGTTGTGGACGAGAAGGTGATCGAGGTAGTGCGGACTGACCTTCGAGGCCAAGGAGGATGGCTTGGGGAGTTTGATGGCTGCAAGGAGGACGTGATTGTCGGAAAACGAGAGGGCACCGTAGGAAGGGGCGTACGCACCCTTTGCCTGTGGCGCGAGCGATGCGTCAAGGACATAACAAAAATACAACACACTTCGTTCCACACCTGTAGCAGCCAGCGAGCCATACCTGGCGTCCGTGGAGAGTTCAGTATTATATGTTCAGCAACAAACCATAGTGATCGGGCTCACAAAGTAATCTTGACCGTCTTGACCTACATCGCCACCAACGTTCCATTTAACCCCATCTAGAAATGACTGCACCAAGGCTCACCTTTTCCAGCAATCCCAAGTCAACCAAGTCGTTGACGAAGATATTGCCTGCACGCATGGGCCCCACGGTATGCGACGAGCTCGGCCCAACTGCGTACACACATCATGTGTTCGGGTCAGTGCGCCGCCCTCTTTCGCCTCCTTCGCCTCGTGATACCACATAATACATGATTTCACACACCTCCTATGCTGAACAGGTCAAACGCAGAGATGACCGCATGCTCTGTCTGCGCATGCTGGCCAATGGAGTTCGACTCTTCAGCAGGCAGCACCTCCGAGTTGCTCTCTTTCGCTACATCTTCCTCTAGCTTGCGCGCCGCCGTGTTCGTTGCGTATCTCCGTGTCTGTGTAACTGAGGGCGCGATTACGTGTGCACTTGACCTTGCCCTCGCCTTCCCAGCAGCTCTCCTCGTCCAGAGCGTGGCGGATAGCGATGCCACCGAAACGACTGCAGGTCTTAAGTTTCCTGCAAGCATCTCTCACCAGCCTTCTTGCGCCTCGTCTGAGTCTTCGGCACCAGCTAGGAGAACACGGAAGGTGACAGTCGACGCAAAGTGGCCGCCGACACGTCTTTAAATAATTTTCGCTTCGCGGGAGTCGGCTAGTGGCGGTAAAGCAGCCACCTCCGCGCGGTGTAAAGCGGCCATTGTCAAATCACCAGCCCTTCCGCCCAAGACCCTAACCACATCATCAGTCCCGGCCCCATTTTCCATTAAATGCCATGTGCGCCTGCCTGTGGCTAGCGTTTCAACTCGCTGCTTCCAGCTAACCGGGTTCTGCTCGGTCCATTCATCCTTGTGTCCGCCGTCTACCGTCCGCTCCTTTCACCTCGTCTGACGGCGCAATTGTATATTGCACCCTTTTCCGACTCAACATTGTCTCAGACACTGCCGCCGAAGTTGCTGCGGCCGGTACAGGAGACGTCCAAGATATATATAGACTGAAGCTTGCGCTGCAATCACAATCGTCCTACACTAGATTCATAGGATTATTGGGATGTCATCCTCGAGCAGGCCGCCGAGCGTGAAGGATGAAGAGGAGGACGTGGTGGAGATCAAGAAAGCGATGGCGACGGGAAGCAATGGTAATTCGAGTACGGTGGCTTCGGGTGAGTGGTAGTATCTTCACCCTTGCACGACAAGCCTTCCTTCGCATACATGGAACGAGCTGACATGCTGGAATGCTATTCATTGCTACATATCGATGTGGGCAGTCCCGCCCATCGTCTGCTACTGCGTCGCCTCCATCCTCATGACGGTCGTCAACAAGGTGCGTCCGCTCCCTACTTTCTCCCTTTCTTGTCGTCTTCAAATGGCCACCTCGTTTTTGCAGTTCGTCGTCTCCGGTCGGCAGTTCAACATGAACTTCCTCCTTCTGTGCATCCAATCCTCTGTCTCCGTGCTCTGCGTCTTCTCTGTGAAACGCCTCGGGTTGATCTCCTTCCGTGACTTTGACGCGCGTGATGCGAAGATGTGGTTTCCGATCAGCTTTATGCTCGTTACGGTGATCTACACCGGGTCGAAGAGTCTGGTGAGTGTACATTGATCGTGTTATACCGGCATCGTTTTTGAGCAGGTGCAGCAATACCTCAGTATTCCCGTATATACCATATTCAAAAACCTAACAATTATCCTTATTGTACGTCGTCTCTTTCCTTGTACCAGGCCCACAGTCGATAACCCAATTCACAGGCCTATGGCGAAGTCATTTGGTTTGGTGGGCGCGTCACCGGACTCACATTAATTTCTTTCTTCTTCATGGTACGTTTGCTCACTCGTCTTGATGACCTTTCTTTAGCTTCGTGATGTCACTCACACGCTGTCGCAGGTGCTTTCATCTGTTATCGCCGCATGGGCGGACATCAGCGAAGCGCTGACTGCAGGCGACCCTGCTGTTGTGGAGGGCCTGGGGATGCTCGGCACGATGAAGGGCGTCGTGACGAGCCTGAACGTGGGCTACTTCTGGATGTTCGTGAACTGCGTGACGAGCGCGACGTATGTGCGTGTTTTATCGACTCATTCATCGGCGTGGCAGGATGTGCGATGCTCAGCAATGATCTACGCCAGGTGCTGTCGATGCGCAAGCGCATTAAGTCGACGGGATTCTCGGACTGGGATACTATGTTCTACAATAACCTTCTCTCCATCCCTGTGCTCGCCGTGTTCTCCATCGTTGTAGAAGACTGGGGTACGGAGAACCTTACGCGTAACTTGTGGGTTTAAAACCGGCCTGTGTAACATGCAATTAGTCTAATGGTAACGCTCAACAGCCCGCCAGAGACACGGAACTTTTTGTTATTCGCCATCGCGTTCTCCGGAGCTGCAGCTGTGGGTATCTCGTACACCACTGCATGGTGCATCCGCGCGACGAGCAGCACGACATATAGGTGAGAGCCCACCTATCTCGGCGCGTCCAGCACGCTCGATCGCGTGCTGATTCCATTTTGCCCGCTGTATAGCATGGTTGGTGCGCTGAATAAGCTGCCGGTGGCCGCATCAGGAATGATTTTCTTCGGTGACGCGGTGACGTTTGGGTCAGTGTCCGCGGTGGGGGTGGGGTTCTTCGCGGGGTTGGTATACGCGGTGGCGAAGAACAATCAGAAGAAGGCGGAGATGACAGCCCAGCAAGGTGTAATTCCCATGGCGAGGAAGACGTGAGTAATGTGTCTGACGTCTGTGACGTATGGCGCGAAGCGTCTGCCCTGGGATGGGCCGTCTTGCCCGGGACCGGGGGGGGGAATGCGCATCGTTGGGTTGCGCCGCATTGGGAGGATGTTCAGGGGGGTCGTTCTCTGCGACATTCGCGGCAGACGATGGACCGCCGATGTACGATTGTGATAGGAGATATCGATGCGGTAGAGTACGTTGATATATCATATATGTGTTCCGCCGGCCCGGTGCGAGGCAGGCCTTCTACGCCTCCAAGGCAATAGACGATCTCTTGCAGGACTTTGTACAGCGATTGGCAGACGGATGGACAGAAAATGAATGCTTTCGTCCGCGAGCATCGCAGCGGACATGGAGCGGTAAGCCGCTGTAACTCCGAGCACGAGATACATAAAACGCGAACGCGGGGTAGTCGATCAAGAGACACGCCCCGCGTTCATCTCTCCAGACGCGTCGACGCTGCCAAGGCCTACCCCGCAGTGCCCTCCCAAACTTGATAGCGCTCGGCCGAATTCCCCCGGCAATATCCAGCAAGTCATATCCATCGCTTTTCTTCTCCATATCCATATCTGCTCTGCCTGCTTCCTCTCCCTCTGAGCTTCGTGCACATCGTTCAACATGGCGTCCGACACCCTCCATCCACCGCGCCTCGCACCCATCTTCGCGGGCTCCCCCAGTGCCCCCGGCACCCCGGTGCATTCCATCCAAACCATGCGCCGCAAGGCTGCAGGCCACTCGGGCCCTCTCACGAAGATCCTCGTCGCGAACCGTGGTGTGAGTGTCAGAAAGCCTGCGACATTGAACTAGATACTGAAGGGAGATCATTCTAGGAAATCGCTATCCGTGTCTTCCGTACCGCACACGAGCTCGCGATGCACACCGTCGCGATCTACTCCTTCGAGGACCGTCTCTCCGCCCACCGTCAAAAGGCAAGTCTCCCCCCTTTCCCTCCCTTTCATCGCCCGCTGATCTCCACCCCAGGCCGATGAGGCATATCAAGTCGGCAAGGGTCTCACGCCCGTTGGTGCTTATCTCGCGCAGGATGACATTATCCGCATCGCGCTCGAGCACGGCGTCGACATGATCCACCCAGGGTGAGATGCCTCTCATCCGCACCGCTGCTGCTGATGTCGAGCGCGCCCGCATTCGGCCGCCAGGTATGGCTTCCTCTCCGAGAATGCAGAATTCGCGCGCAAGGTCGAGCAGGCCGGCCTCGCGTTCGTCGGCCCGTCTCCCGAGGTCATTGACTCGCTAGGCGACAAGACCAAGGCGCGTACGATCGGTGCGTAGTGCGATCATAGTGCAGCCTCAGATCATGCGTGATAACGTACGTGCGTTCTCACAGCTATGGAAATCGGTGTCCCAGTCGTCCCTGGGACGCCCGGTCCCGTCGGGTCCTATCAAGAGGCGGATGCCTTCATCAAGGAGCATGGTTTCCCCGGTGAGTCGCCGAGATGCCTCTGCTCTTACCACCGTCCCTTATGCGCCCCAAGTCATCATCAAGGCCGCCATGGGCGGCGGAGGCCGTGGAATGCGAGTTGTCCGCGAGCAATCCGACTTCGAGACCTCGTTCGAACGCGCCGTGAGTGAGGCGAAGTCGGCGTTCGGCGATGGCACGGTCTTCATCGAGCGTTTCCTCGAGCGTCCACGCCACATCGAGGTACAACTTCTCGCGGATGCGCAGGGCAACACGATCCACTTGTACGAGCGCGACTGCTCCGTGCAGCGTCGTCACCAGAAGGTTGTTGAAGTCGCGCCCGCTCTGCACCTTCCCGAGGAGGTCCGCCAGGCGATCCTCGAGGACGCGATCAAGCTGGCGAAGAGTGTCGGGTACAGGAATGCGGGTACTGCGGAGTTTTTGATCGACCAGATGGGCAGGCATTACTTCATTGAGATCAACCCTCGTATTCAGGTCGAGCACACGATCACTGGTGAGCCTGAAACCTGCATATATGCACTCGTGCGATGCTGAAAAGCATTGCAGAGGAGATCACTGGCCTCGATATCGTCGCGGCTCAGATCCAGATTGCGGCGGGCGCGACGCTTCCCCAGCTCGGGCTCACGCAGGACGCAGTCACGAAACGCGGATTCGCTATCCAGTGTCGTGTCACCACCGAGGACGCGTCGCAGAACTTCCAGCCTGATACGGGTAAGATCGAGGTGTATCGCAGTGCTGGTGGTAATGGTGTCCGCCTTGACGCCAGTTCTGGCTTTGCGGGTGCGCAGATTACAGTAAGATTTTCTGTTAGTTAAACATATTTGAATGAGATGCTAACATTTATGTTTAGCCTCACTATGACAGTTTACTCGTGAAAGTAACTGTGAGGGGGACGACGTATGAGGTTGCGCGTAGGAAGATGCTTCGGGCTCTCGTGGAGTTCCGTATTCGTGGCGTTAAAGTAGGTGTCCGGTGCAATCCCGGGTTCACACAACGTGCTAACTACTCGCATCGATCAGACCAACATCCCCTTCCTCTTCCGTTTGCTCACACACGACGTCTTCATCTCCGGCAAGACCTGGACAACTGTACGTCGTTCCCCTAAGCCCATTATGTGTTCTCACAAGCTGACTTGGGATAATCCGTCAGTTCATCGACGACACGCCTGAGTTGTTCAAGCTCGTCCAGAGCCAGAATCGTGCGCAGAAGCTGCTCGCCTATCTCGGCGACCTAGCCGTCAACGGTAGCTCCATCAAGGGCCAACAGGGCGAGCCTGGGTTGAAGGACGATATTGTCGTGCCCGCCTTCCAAACCCGCGAGGACCCGAATGGGGCGCCACTCGACGCGTCGTTACCGTGCGAACAGGGCTGGCGCAACATCATCGTCGAGAAGGGCCCCGAGGCATTCGCCAAGGCCGTGCGCGAGTACCCTGGCGTGCTCATCATGGACACGACTTGGCGCGATGCGCATCAGAGTTTGTTGGCGACGAGACTGCGGACGATCGATATGGTGAACATTGCGAAGGAGACGAGTTATGCGCTCGCGAATGCGTTCTCGCTCGAGTGCTGGGGTGGTGCGACGTTCGATGTCGCTATGCGGTTCTTGTATGAGGACCCTTGGGAGCGTCTGGTGAGTACCTTTGATGCGATGGCCTAGCATAATTATTAGGATTGACCCGCAGATTCCTTTAGCGCACACTGCGTAAGCTTGTCCCGAACATCCCTCTACAGGCTCTTGTCCGTGGTGCGAACGGTGTCGGCTACACGAGCTACCCGTGCGTATGGGCACTCCTCGGCTATCACAATATCTGATATCCGTTATGCAGTGACAACGCCATCTACGACTTCTCCAAGAAAGCCGTCGAGAACGGTCTTGATATTTTCCGTGTGTTCGACTCATTGAACTACATTGGTGAGTACATACCATGTCAATTGTATGCGCACTGCTCACATCATCATTATAACAGAAAATGTCCGTGTATCTGTTCCTGAGTATATGCAGAATACTGACCTCCTTACAGTTGAAGCTCGGGATTGATGCCGCGAAGAAGGCCGGTGGTGTCGTTGAGGCCGCCGTCTGCTACAGCGGTGATGTCGCAAACCCGAAGCTTACGAAGTACACGCTCCAGTACTACCTCGACTTCGTCGACCAGCTAGTTGCGGAGGGCATCCACATCCTCAGTATCAAAGACATGGCTGGTCTACTGAAGCCCGAGGCGGCGAGGATGTACGCATGTCGCTCATTTCTCTTAGCATGGTCGATGCTTATGCACTTTCTTGCAGCCTCATTGGCGCTATTAGAAAAAAGTATCCCGATCTCCCCATCCACGTCCACTCGCACGACACAGCTGGTATCTCCACCGCGAGCATGCTCGCCGCCGCCGAAGCTGGCGCTGACGTTGTTGATGTTGCCATCGACAGTACGCACACCATCACAGATGATGTCTGGACTTGATGGCTGACCAACCCTACAGGCATGTCCGGCCTCACGTCGCAGCCGCCGATGGGAGCCATCTGCGCTGCACTTGAGCAGACTGGCATGGGCACGGGTATCCGCTATGCCGACATTCAGTCGCTCAATCTCTACTGGAGTCAAGTCCGCATGCTCTACAGCTGCTTCGAAGCCAATGTGCGTGCGTCGGACTCGAGTGTGTTCGACCATGAGATGCCGGGAGGTCAATATACCAACCTTATGGTATGTCATAACCTACTTCGGCTCATTCGGTCTTTGCATTGACGCATCATCATCAGTTCCAAGCTGCCCAGCTGGGTCTCGGCACACAGTGGACAGGTGAGTTTCGGCCGCCGGTTCTCATCGCTCCGAAGATGTACTGAGAAGTTCCTCGCAGAGGTAAAGAAGAAGTACATCGAAGCCAATGAGCTTGTAAGCACGCTGTCCTGTTGGAAATTGATATGGATTATCTGACAACCGTCATGTAGTGTGGCAACGTCATCAAAGTCAGTATCAGCCATCAGAAGTATCGAAAAATGTGATTCTCACAGTAGAGCAGGTCACACCAACGTCAAAGGTTGTCGGCGATTTCGCGCAGTGGATGGTGTCGAACAGCTTCTCGAAGAAGGATGTGCTTGAGCGCGCCGACCACCTTGACTTCCCATCATCGGTCGTGGAGTTCTTCCAGGGATTCCTTGGTCAGCCGGTCGGCGGATTCCCTGAGCCCCTACGCACAAAGATTATCAGGGACAAGCCAAGGATCAATGGCAGGCCCGGTGCCAGCCTCCCGCCCGTCGACTTCAGGAAGACAAAGGCGGAGCTGCGTGCGAAGTATGGCAAGCACATCACGGACGCCGATGTTACGTCGTATATCATGTACCCCAAGGTAGGCATCATGACCGACAAGCTTGTAACATCTTGGTCCTTAAGGCTGCTGGTAGGTCTTCGAGGAGTACCAGGCGTTCGTTGAGAAGTACGGTGATCTGAGGTAGGCGACTGATTTGCACAATCACCGCCGGTACTGAGCCAATTCCCTGGACAGTGTGATTCCAACCCGCTATTTCCTCGGCCGTCCGGACATTGGCGAGGAGATGCACGTCTCCATCGAGAAGGGCAAGACGCTCATCATTCGTCTGATGGCTGTTGGCCCTGTCGTTGAGGGCCGTGCCCAGCGTGATGTCTGGTTCGAGGTGAACGGCGAGGCACGTATCCATCATCACATTGTACCCGTTCATCCTTTCATTTCTGATTCCATGGCCATATCCATCAGGTCCGTGCCGTGTCGATCGAGGACAAGAACTCCGCGGTGGAGACCGTGTCTCGCGAGAAGGCGACGACCGCTCCTGGATCGGTCGGCGCGCCGATGTCTGGCGTCGTAGTTGAGGTGCGTGTGAAGGAGGGTGCAGAGATCAAGAAGGGTGATCCCGTCTGTGGTACGTGAGGGTGCTTGAAAATTGTGAAGAGTTCTGCTGACACAGGTGACATGGCTGCAGTATTGAGCGCGATGAAGGTACGTAACGCGCTTTGCGGCTGATCCCACAGTTCATTTACGGTCGTCTTGCAGATGGAATCTCCCGTCTCGGCGCCTGTGTCTGGCCATGTCAAGCGCGTGGTCGTTCACGAGGGTACGTCCTTACAGCATATAATGAAATTGGTAACGAGCGAAACTCATGTCTTTTAAGGCGACTCCATCAACCAGGGCGACCTCATCGTGGAGATCACGCAATGATCCTGCTGAATATCACTACGCATCGTGTCTCATCACAGTTCATGTAGTGTACGAATAGAACCAGAAGTACGATTCACTGTTGTCACGAATATATCCCATCAACCTGCCTACGCGTTACATTGTGCCCGAACGCGTCATAAGTCCACCTGCTGTACCATTCTATGACCGTAGAGCGTGAGCAGCGTTTTTGGACCAATTGCCAGGATTGCATTGTGAATGATCACCGGCGTCCCGCCCACCTGCGGTCAGAAGACATACTCAAAAGTATAAACGTCTACTATAATTGCCGTCATAGGGACCACGTTGACCTCATGCCTTGTCCGGATCTACTGCTTGAAACCTCACGGAACGACATACGTAATGGACTCAATTGTGGAGGAGCATCCACATTAGCCTCCTTCTACCAGTCGATCAGAACGCACATGCTGATCTTGTCGGAGCTTGCGTCGTCGATGACACTCTCGTTCAAGGACGTAAGACCTCGTTTGTATGGGAGGGCAGACGAATATGGAATGTGGAGAATTTTATGTGTACCTTTTAGAACCCCATCGAGGCCGTCGACGGCGTTTGGAGGTGGCAATCGGTGAGGAGAGGAAACTTCCTTGTACGCTTGGTCTTCTGCGAACGAAAGGAGAAAACACGATCGCTACGTCAGAGGTCATTAAGCTCGCCAATTGAATACACAGTCCTGTGACGGTAGTCCTTTATACTTGACTTGGATGATCAGCGCACTCCGTTGCCCTGCACGATGTTCTTGAGGTCAGAACAACGCACGCGATATGGCAAAGTCAATTAATTTCACCGACCGGCGCTGCTGCAGATCCTCATCCATGTTGCTCTCGATGCGTTGCGCTTTGCCTTGGTGCGCATCGGTGGCGTTCATGTTCCGCGGCATTGTCCGCTCGCTCGACAAATTCCTTGCAAACGGCGATGGGGACGGTGGACCCTTGACCTTCCAGCACGCGTCTTCCTGCACGTTTGCGTGCTTCTAGGTGCAACGCGTTCAAATTGCGTATGCCAGGATCTTGGGGATCTCGCTGCGCGCAGACTGCGCGGTAGCGTCTTCACGTCGCCGTCCGAAGCTTTGTCAAGGCCTCGGTCAGCAGGCTCAGCGTTAGCGAAAGGACCCGAGCTTCGTCAGGTTTGGGTGATGATGTTGCTGGCTGGGCCGATTAGATAGCAGTGCCCTCGCGGCATGAGCATGGCACAATAAGCCTTGGGAATTGCGAGTAAGGTAACTCGTATTGTCTACGGGCTTGGAAGTAAGTACCTTGTCTCGGAAGAGCTGTTGAAGCAGCCCAACACTGACGTGAAAGGCTCCTTCACTCATTCGCGTCAATTCGGGATCTCAGCATGCATGATGAATATGGTAAGGAGCCTGCAGCTGTGGATCAATGCACGGCCTCCGTCTCGACGATGAGGGTCATGATCACATAGTTCAGAAAAGCAAATTGTCAAGGGTTTCTGGTGTCAGGGCCCGTGTGCAACGACGACCAGTTCTGCGGTGGCATGCGTCTTCAAGACAACCAGAAGATCTATCCGGAGCAATTGTATTGAGGACGTGATCGATCAAGTTGTCCCCAAAGTAAGAAGTATGATTGCAAACTACATCGTACTTCCACCGTGGCCGCTCGCCCAGACAGCTATGTAGCTTCCTGCAGCAGAGATGAGACTACCAGCACCGACTAGCTGCCGCTAACGAGGGGGCTGTCTCCCAGGCTGTCACGTCAGTGTCAACGCGAAATTAGTGTCGTCGGGAGATCAGCGTCTAGTAGACTGCTGTCAACATCATTCATGAATTCAATAGGGACCGTTATCAGAAGGTCGAACCGCAGATGTCACCCGTGGCCAATTCAGTTGGACAGCACAATTGCTGCGGTCCCCGTGCTAAATCTGAAAGGGTGGCGCCGACAGCGCGCCGGATGGAGATACTTGGCGAAGAGTAGTCTGCCCACCTTCGCTAGCAGAAATAGGCCGCCTGAGGAAAAGGAAGACCACAGTACCGTCATCGCCTAATCAAGCTCAACTTCTGGCAACGCCAGGACGCAATGGGGTGAATGATATAGGCTGAATTCAACGGCGACAGGGCGGGTTGCGTAAGGCCAACGGATAGACGACTGAACCCGCCCAGGGCAATGAAAGACGCGCTCACCTTAGATTGTCCGACGGAGGCTTCGACGTACAGCTTGAGTAAGCAAGTACTAAGCTCTCCGCGCGACCTGCAATCAGCCGTTGCAAAGGGAAATTGAAACGACCGTTTCACTCGTTCTATTCTTGTAGAGCAGGAGGCTAACAGATAGCGATCTCCGCGAGTTGCTGGGCGACGCGGCGGGCCGTCCCACTGCAGCCGGCTCCCGCGTCCATAGACGTCTCCCCCTTTTCCCCTTCAGATAGCGGCCTGTGTCGCGTAATTATTACGAGCAGTCGAGAGCATGAGACAACAGCAGAAGTGGTAAACTCTTGAAATAATCCTGGCCGATGGACACCCTCAGCGCTTAGGTGCAAGCGCCACTGGAATGTTTGGCGGTGTTTGCTCGGTATCTCTTCCTGGCACCACGTCGTCCTCATTGTTCGTAACAGCCTCCAAAAAACACAGTCGCCCACCATGGTGAGCTCGTTGCACGCATAATCCACACTAACGCTAACTATATGACGTTCTCAGCCTCCTCCAAAATCCAAAGGCGGGAAGATGCTTTCCCTGATCAACTGGCGAATGAAGGTCACGATCAACGACGGCCGCGCGTTCGTCGGGCAGATGCTCGCGTTTGACCGCCACATGAACCTCGTCCTGGCCGAGTGCGAGGAGTTTAGGCGGATACGACCGAAGAAAAAGCAGGGAGAGACGGAGGCGGGGCCCGTGCAGGAGATGAAAAGGACACTCGGGCTCGTCATCTTGCGCGGCGAGACGGTCGTCAGTCTCTCGGTGGAGGGTCCGCCGCCGGTGGTGGATGAGGACAAGAAGAACGCTGTGCGTCGTGTCTTCCTCCTCAGACGAGTTGCGAATGTTGATGTTTGTGGCACTTGTAGCTCCCGATTGGTCCTGGGAGAGGTATGCCGGCCGGTCGTGGTATGGGTATGATGCCGCCAAGTACGTTGTCTGTCGTGGTCGTGTGGACGCTTCGTGTCTGACTATTTCCGCAGTGGGGGCACCGGCGTTGCAACGCCCGCCCATGCCGTTTGCTCCAGGTATGCCTCCTGCAGGATTCCCTCCTGGCTTCCCTGGCGGTCCTCCTGGTATGCCGCCCTTCGCGCCGCCTCCAGGGTACGGTGGCCCGCCTCCTGGGTGAGTTGAGATGGACAAAGGGTTGAAAGACCTGATAACTGACAAGTTCAAACAGCTTCCGACCGCCACCCCAGTGATCGATCGCCCTTCAATCTTCTGCGAAGGCCTTGTATTCTATTTGTTCCTCTCCATTTCTCTCCTCACTGACATGCGAGCAAGAAGCTCTAAGAAGGCTTGTCGGAGGCCAGCCTTGGCTGTGACCTGTACTGTCTCCTGCGCGGTGATACTGGGATCCGAAAATGCCCTTTGAAATTGTTCTTGCGTGTGCGTCTGGAGAAAGGTTTGTATGGGTAAAATTTTTCAGTAACGTGTGCGGACCTAGCGTGCTGTCCTGTTCTCGAAGTCGTGTTCTCTTGATATTGAATCTGCTTCCTGCTATCTGCTATCTGCTATTTAGACGTGGCACTTGCCTTTGCACGCAAAGAACTCGGCAACATGCATTGTCTCGCTGCCGGTTAGAAGCATAGACGGTCGTGTGAGTGGTGATTCCGTCCGCAAATTGGTATAGAGCCCCTCGATGGCGCAATCATCATGAGAAACACAGAAGAAGATGGGATTGATACGCTTGCTTGCGGCATTGACGTTACGCTGTGGGATCGTGCGCCTCCCGGCCAACTCAAACGTCTCAGAGGATGTTCCTCCCGAGGATATTGATGTCAGCTGCCCCTCCTGCGCGTGCAGGTGACCTCGCCTCGTGCAGAGCCGGTGCGGTCTCTTGTACGCATGCGGTAACTTTTTAGAGTTGACAGGTTCTCCCTTCTGCGTGCGCGTGCCGAGCCAGAAACTGAATTGCAGGGCATACAGGGACGCAGGCATGATGCAGAATGACCTCAGGCCTCGAATACTCTCATTACATTACGGATATCAGATCGCAGCGCGCGCGTACCACTGTCCGTGCGTGTATTTCGAGATCCGTGAGCGTGCGCACACGACGGCTGGGTGCGTACACGTACGAGGTGCGAGCTGAGTAATCGATGCAGGAGAAGAGGTCAGCTGCGTTGTCGTGGTGCGGATTTAGAGTGAGATTTGGGGATTTCGGGGACGCGGAGGCCTGGAGGATGGGTGAAACGCATAACACGTCGTGCCTACTAGGAGACGGCGAACTCGTCGGCGTCTGCGTGGATATTCCGCGAGTCGGAGGGCTCAATTGATTGTTGCAACGACGCATCGCGTGCCGTATTTGGGTACATTTCGACACCAGCTGATGTCTTTGCGCAGTTTGCGTTACGATACCAGTACGCAACACAGTACGTCGCCATACTCAATCCCCTCAGGACCATCGCCCCGTGAGCGTCCTCCCAGCTCAACCCAGTGCTTGGCCTGCGAACCGGTGCGACATCAAGCATCCCCGACGGCGGGACCACCATCAGCTAAATCTCGATAACGCATGCACCAGCCCTCCTGGGCAATCATTACACGATCATTGGCATCAACGACGTCGGCGCCACCGAGCTAATCTTAGTGCGTCCTAGCTCCTGTCGCGACGCGTCGCGACGTTTTTGATGGGGCGGTGCTTCCCCGCGGGAGGGGGTTGGCGATCCGTTCATGTTAAGTTGCGATTTATGAATTGTGAATTGTGGATTTGCGAATATGATGTGTGGCGCTGAGGGTGTGACATGGTGATGGTGTCCTTGACGTCTGCCGTCGGGGAAGGTGGCGAATATGGCGCCATAGTTGGGCGCTGATGTGCATCCGATGTAAGTTGGTGCACGGGCGCGCTCGGTCCATGCGCGGATCCGAATCTGGCGATATAACGCGCTTGCGCTGCACGTCCGATGTGGCCAGAGTCAGGATCAGGATCAGGCGCGCGGTAGTGGTGGTTGCTTATTCCATGCCATGCGCGCATTGCATGGCATATGTGGCAGTGGATGTGGATGACGCACCGGTCCCACCACGTTGCAGCACTACTAGCCGGTCAGACACAGTCGTCTGCTGGAGCATCAGTTCGCACACAATATGCATCATAGGGAAGACGGAAGACACAGATACATACATGTTACGTGTCGCGTCATCTTCACGGTCCTGGGGGACGGGTAGGGTGGCGTCACCGAGGGCACCGCAGTGCAGCAGCATGAGGCAACAGCGACTCCGCGAAGGCTACAGCTGGAATGGACGTAGCGATTACTGTACCCTGAAATGCGTCCACCCGATGGAACGTTTGCGGCAAATCACAATATGCATATATTTAGCGGACAGTCATGCGCCGCATACGCCGCGTACGAGACGCACAATCCACGCACATATCAACGAAAAATAACGCATCATCGCACGATGCGCCCCGAGCAGCGACGGCGGCCGCCGCACCCGCACACGCGCATGGAGTGGAAGTCACATGAGTCACACCTTCCCACGGAATCCCCGACTCTCCTTTCCGAGCGATCAGCTGCCGCCGCCATGTCCAACCCAAACCCATGATCGCTCCGACCGACTAGACCCAAAAGGGCTAGTGAGCAAGAACCTGACCACATGGCTTGCAAGCCTCCTCTCCCCGCCCCGCCCCGCCCCGACCTACGCATCCTCTTCCTCTGCACCCCTTTCGCTGAGTGGAGCGCCCCCCAAGCTAGGGACGTGTATGTACCGTTGGCGAGCGAAACCAGGTCGTCTCGACTTTTTTTCCTTCAGCGCTTGCGCATGACGGGGTCCCTCTGCTCATTTGATATGTGACTTCGTGATTATGTCCATTTGTCAGTTTTCTTTTATTATGTAATATTTTGATGGCTGGTGGCTGTGCCATTCCTTTTGTACTTTTATTTAAGTGAATGGGTATGAAAATTAAGAGTGCGGTAAGACATTGAAATAAATGTACAAAACGAATGGCATATGTACTATGTAGCCACCTACTGGCAACACTCACAAAGCATTGCATCCTTAGTGTCCTCATTCTATATCACCTCAGACAGAGACCCATTTCCATTTGCGACAGCGCTTTTTCGAGGTAAATTCAGTTTGATATTGTGAATTCATTGCCATAAAAGGGAATTTGTAACATACTAAATCGGATTTTGACGGCATATTACAGGGTCAAAAACATCTTGGGGGGTGCATGCCGCAGTACTGCACAATGGCCATAGATCTGTCTCTCCAATTCTCTGTACTGTGATTTTTCATGCATCTTCATCATCTGCCTTGCTTGTGCTGCTGCCCTTTGTCTCATGTGTGACAGTGCATTATAATGCACCACATCCATTGGTTCATTTAGCTAGCCATCAA